TAAGTTTTATAATATATCTTATTTAACCCAACATATCCAAAATATTCTCATTTCGATATGTAATGAGTATAAAAGCTATTAATGAGATAGCCTGCATTCTTTCTTTCATATTAAGTCTTCAAAATCTGGTGCATTTGACACAGCACATCTTAATCTGGACCAGCCGTATGTCGACAGCCACACGTGACTAGGGGCTACCACGTTGAACAGTGGTTTTAGAGCCTCTAGATTCTCTGAATTTATTCCTCCAGAATAAAGCAACTAAGTTCACACTATTTTGAAAACTCTGTCAGGAGTTTTGTCTGAAGCCCATCCCTGGATGGGGTTTGTAATCCCAGCTTAAAATTCTTGCTCTTAACATTCCTCAAGCTCCCAAAGGATCTGGTGTTCGGGTCTCCAGCAAATAGTGACAAAGCAATCCTTGCTTTTGTGGCAAACATGGGTGAGGGAGGGGTGGGCACACCGGCCAATCAGAACTTTAAAATGTGGGTCTTATGTTCTTTCTGCCTCTTGGGCACTTGCATCCCAATTCCATCACATCCTGTACTCTTCTGTTCTTTCTTCACGCTCAGTTGCTACAGGTGTGTGGGGGGGGGGCAGAGGGGGGTGGGAGAAAAAGGAATTAAAAGTAATAGAGACTTCTTGTTCTAGCCTACCAGATAAACCAGGATCACCTGTGGTAGGTATCCTTTGTACTCGAGACAGGGGCTTATGGATAAGTAAGAAAGAGGATTTGTACTTAAATATCAAGAACATTCCAATGCTTAGCCAGTTATACTGTTCACTCTTTCATCGTTTGCATCGTCCTTCTCCAAATTATTTGTCCTCTGGTGGATCTTGACAAAGTTCCTGCACAAAACTAACATGCATGCAAAACCTGGATGAGCCAAATTGATTTGCCTATAATTTGTGAAGCGATCAGGACGTGGTTGAAGTGATTTTAATTTCAGAGCCCAAGTCACCAGTCTGTCTTTTTGTCAGGCAATTAGTTCCGCTAGCTGGGCAAGAATGCTGTGATACAGGAGCCAAGGGGAACCGGGCAAGCAGAGGCAGTATAGCCTTCCTTTTTGCTTCCTCTGTGTGTTCCTCGTGCCAGGCTTCTTTTGTCTCTCTGGTTTATCTGAGGTAAAATCCCCCGCTGAGCACCAGGCTCTGTGACTTTGCTGGGCATCGTGCTGTGGATAAGTGCTCTGGATAAGGACCCAGAAGGAGGTCAGCAGAGGAAACCCTAAGAGCAGTTACTACTTCTGGCAGGGTGTGAGGCTCTTCACCATGTGTTACTACTTCTGGCAGGGTGTGAGGCTCTTAGATTCAGTTCATGCACTCGACAACATCAAATGACAGGTACTACTACCTTCATTTTCCTGATGATGAAATCAAGGGGCAGAGGGAGGTCGGCAATTAACCATAGTGCAGCGTCATGGCTGCAACATGGGTGCTTTTAGTCCCTGGACTGCGCTGCCCATTCGGCCACACAGAAGCCATTGCCTTTTGGACTTTGGGGAGGAACGATGTTGGGATAAAGAGGCAAGCTAACAGTAAGCTCAACAAGGCACTTCTGCCTCCGAGGGCAGGGACTTGGGAAGTATCCTCCAAGCCCGACGGAACCTGCTTCATCCTCGGCACATAGGAAGCACACCCATATTTGTTCAGTGACTAAACTACATTATCCCATCGGATTTTCACAATGAGAGGCAGCCAGGAAAGGTATTATTATCTTTTTTTATGATGACTTTCCCCGAATCTAAAGGAATATCTCACATTCCCAAAGCGATTCAAATAAATTTCCGAGTCATTTTAATTGTCACATGGACAACATGACCTAGAAAGGTTTGAAGGTCCCCGAAGCAGGGACCACCTCCTGTACACCTTGAATCCCTTCCCCCCACAGTGCGGAGTACATTGCTGTGGTCACAGAACGTTCTGTCGGACAGTGCTGGTCCAGAGGCAGGCAGAGGCTAGTTGGTGATGACCTAACATAATACCCTACTTCAGAGCCAGAGGTAGAACTTAATAATTTTTGAATGAATAAATGAATGAATACCGTAATGGAACTGTTTTCTTAATATAGACGAAGCTAATTACGGTGATCAGTCATAGGTTGAATTAGAGCTTTCCAGAGTAGCTGACTTCATTTTTCAAAATGAATCATCAAAAAGAGCAGAACAACTCATTTCTTAAAGATGTCAAAGTGCAATTTTAAATGTCATGCTAAGTAATGGCAAGATGCTGGAGTGGGCTAGTCAGTGATTACTGCTATTTAACAGTAATTCAGAAATAAGGCAAGAGCGATGTTTGTACCAATATGGCATCGAAATAGTCAAAACCAACTCCAGTTAGATAATGAATTAATTCATATTTATTAATAATGCATTTCATTTATTTTGTACCATTTTTCATGCAGTTTAAAGTGAGTCATTGTTATTATTTTAGCTAATATGATGTCATCTATCTATGCCAGAAGGCTGGCATTGCCTTTTCAAAAATGACAGAGAAATGAAAAAAAAAATAAGGTTTTTATGTACCATGATGCCCAGTGGGTATGATATCCTGAGTCCCCTTTTCTCATCCTGTGATTGTCTCACCTATATTTTGGGGGACACGTGAATAAAAAAAGATGAGTAAAACAGACAACAGAAAGGCTTGGTTTATTGCACTAAGCTCCCCAGAAAGGGCAGCTTATCTTATATTGTTCTATGCCTTTTAGCAATTCAGCAAATTGGTATTTTGTGGAAAAACAGCAAAGGCTGTGGCCCATTTAACCCCTGATGTTCCTTACTTTAACCAGTCTCATCTGTACCAAAACCTGTCCTTAACTAAGACTGATCTCATACAGTTCAAGGGAGGGGCATATCTCCAGGGTAAAGCAACCCATTTATTCACTTATTGCACGCCTGCAAGTGCCAGACAAGTGCAGGGAACACAATGACGAATGGCACACAGTTCCTGCTGTCAAGGAGCTCGGGGTCTCCTGGGACCTCAGGTGAGTAGACTGGTAATTACCACAGGGGGTGACCAGCACTATAATGGGGGTGAGCAGAGGCTTCTGAGGAACGGGGGATAAGAAAAGGCTTTCTGGGAAAATAGGAACAAATCATGTCTTGAAGCCAAGGTAATGGTTAGTCAGGTGATGAGAGAGGCAAAGAGAGTACAAAAAAGAGAGCAGGTGTTGATGAAAGAATTATAGGAAGTCATAGTGTCATGAAAGCCCAGATTCCAGGGGTCACAGTGGGTGGAATGGCGGCATGAGGCTCTGGAGCTGTGCTGTCCAATATGGTAGCCAATAGTCACCTGTAGCCATTTAAATTTAATTTCAAATTAATTAAAAGTAAATAAAATTAGAAATGCAGCCCCTCAGTTGCACTAGCCACACTTAAAGAGCTCACTAGGCACTTGGGGCTACCGTGGTGCCCCATGCAGATACACAACCCTCTCCTCACCACAGAAATTCCACTGAATGGTGCTCCTCTAGAGGCAGGCAGGGGCCAGCCAGCGGTAGACTTTGAATGACATGCAAAGGTACTTGGACCTTATTCTGAGGATAATAAGATGCCACTGAAGTGTTTTATTCAGGAGAGGAGAATGATCACATTTATATATTAGAAAAGCCACTCTGCAGGGCATGGAAAGAATTAGAGAGGCAAGACTGGAAGTTAGAGAGACCAGCCCAGGAGAGCTTTTCATTCATTCAAGAAAGAGATGATGAGGGCCTAGAACAGGTAGCATAGTCGAGAAGTGTATGGATTCAGGAAATATTGAGAGAGCTAATCAACATGACTTATAGTTTAGGTGTGGAGGGCAAGGAGGGCAGAAGTTAAGGTTGATCCCTGCTTGGGCAGCTAGTGAATGATGGCATCCTTAGCCTAGACAGGGAACAAGGGAGAGGAAGGAATAGATTTGGAGAAGAGAGATGATAAATTCAACTTTGTTCTTGAATTTGAAGTCAACAATGAGGCATCCAAGTGAGCTTGCCGAAGGCATTTGGATAGTCAGACCTGAAGCCTGGGGTACAAATCTGGGCTGGAGATAAAGACTTTTTTTTTTTTAAAGAACTTGTCTTTTTCTTTTTCTTTTTTTTTAAAGATTTTATTTATTTATCTGATAGAGAGAGACACAGCGAGAGAGGGAACACAAGCAGGGGGGAATGGAAGAGGGAGAAGCAGGCTTCCCGCCGAGCAGAGAGCCCGATGCGGGGCTCGATCCCAGGACGCTGGGATCATGACCCGAGCGGAAGGCAGACGCTTAATGACTGAGCCACCCAGGCCTCCCTGGAGATAAAGGTTTTTAAGCCATCACCACATGGGTGACATTTGAAGTCACTGGAGTAGATGAAATCCCTGGGGGAGAGAGTGTGGAATGAGATGCTAAGAAGGCCAAGCACTGAAGGCTGACAGTGATGAGACCAGCCATGAAAGAGGAGCCCAGAGAAGCAGCCAGAGAGGCAGAAACTGTATGGGAGCCAGGTAAAGAGGATATTTGGGGAAAAAGGAGTGGTCATCATGTCAAGCGCTGTAGAGATGTCCTCTCTGTAACCCGTGTCATTTTTAAATGTCTACCTCATATTAGAGATATTTGTAACGACTCTTATGCTCAGTACTACTCTAAGCACATCGGAAGTACAGACGGGTTCTTCTATATCTTCACACCTTCATTTTTCCTAGTGTAAGTGTTGCAGATAGAAGATACTCTTTTGATAGTTGTTTAATTACTTTCCAGCCTTCCAACTTAAGGCTCTTATTGGACTTAAATATATATAAAGTGTGTATCCTTTACATGTGTTTTCCTCTTATGCAACTTTCTCTGATGGGGCAAAAACATCTCAGTTCCCAGGGAGGGTAAGGTCATGATAAACCCATAACTTAGTAGAATCTCATGATTTCAGGAAACTTTGCAAATTGGGGGTGGGGAGGGTAATTCCCTCCAAAACAGAAGAAATAGAACAAAGATGAATATGTTTTAATAAAAAATTTTTATTATGATTATTTACACCAGTTCCTTGATAAGCGTATAAATGTAAACTTTTATCATTGGCATTATTTCACATATGACTTATCGAGATTCAGAGTTAATACTGTCATTTGAGTGTACAGGTAGTGAGAAAATTTTATTATATTCACAGAATATACATACACGTGCATCCAAAATGTGTCCCTCGTTAAGCCAGTGGTATAGACACAGTCCCATTGGCCCGGCTTCTGGTCCGCAGGTGCACACTGGGGTCAGTGATGTCCTCCACATGATCCTCGCTCTTCTTTTCCTTCAGGCTGTTGATGAATCTCAGGGTAATTTCGTCCCACTCCTCCGGCAACAGCATCAGCAGAAACCCAATGCAGATGATGATGGTAGCAGCCAGGCGGACGACATTGAATATCACCTCCTGCTTCAGGAGATCCACAGCTAGGGCAGAAAAATCAGGTCTGTCATAGGCTGTGACTGTTTCTAGGCTTCTCTGAGAACAAATGACCGAAGTCAGTGCTACATCTAGAGATTTCTAAGGTCTCCCTTGTTCTTTCAAGCTCATCTTTCCTTTCTCCATATCATTCTATCGTTCCCTTTGCTCGCTTTCTGTTTCTTCTCCCTAAGTCTCAGGCTTATCCTTCAAGGCTCATGTCATCTCATTTAATTGCCTCTGCAAGTTTTATTTCTTGAAACTTCTCCTCTGCGTCCCTTCACACTTTTCCAGTTTCATTGGGCCGCTGATGATTTTTCAGATGAGCCAAGCTTGTTAATGCCTACGTCTTGGCACATGCTGTTCTTTTAAAAAAATTTTTAATTGAGGTGCAATTCCTGTAAATTAAAATGAACTCTGTTCAAGTGAATTTAGTGGCATTTTGTATGTTCACAATGTTGTATAACCGCCACCTCCATCTGGTTCCAAAACATCTCCATCACTTCAAATTATAACCCCTTACCCATGAAGCAGCTACTCCCCAGCTCCCTCCCCGACCTCCCAGTTCTTGTGTGGGGATCTGCTGTAGGTTTCCATGAGTTAACCTATTCTGGAGATTTCACATAAATGGAATCATACCACATGTGACTTTTTTGTGTGTGGCTTCTTTCACTTAGCATGACGTTTTCGAGGTTCAACCATGTGGTAGCATGTCTCCATACTCCCTGCCTTTTTATGGCTGAATGAGATCCCATTGTACCACAACTTGGTTATCAGTTCATCTGTTGATGGACATTTGGGTGTTTCCACCTTTTGGCCATTGTGAATAGGGCTGCAATGAATATTCATGTACAAGTATACTTTTGAGTCCCTGTTTTCCGTTTCTCGGCATAGGTACCTAGTAGTGGAATTCTTGGTCATGCATAGGCTGTTCTTTTTACATGGAATGCCCGTCCCTTCTCATATCCACACCATCCAGCTAATCCCTGCGTTAGTTCTCTCTCTTGGCTTCTTACAGGAAGCCTCCCTGGAAGCCACTCCTGTGTGCTCTCAGAGCCTTCATTACACACCTCTATCAAGACAATTCTCTTTCTACATTGTAACTACTCAATTCCTTTTGTCTCCCTCTGTGTACTGCATGGTCCAGAGAACAGGAACTGTGTCTCACTCAGGACCCCTCACCAGCGTTAGCACTGTTCCTGGCACATCCTAAGTGCTCAGAAATGATGTGTTGAATGACCGGATCCCTGGGTGAATGAATGAACTTCCTTGACAACTCCTCTCCTCTCTGATATTTCTTTCCTCTGGATATCTTTTAGTCTTAAGAGTCTGTCTCACACGATTTGGCATTTGCTAATAAATCACACTGTGGGGTTGTAAGTTATTTCATATATGCTGGGCTTGTTTTCCAAATTTGGTGAAAGTTTCTTATGGGAACAATAATATCCTTCCCGCCCCCTGCCCCCCGTTTCTTCTACAGTTCTGCACACAGTAAGTGCTCAATGAACACTTGCTGATTGTCCCGGGGCAGAGAAAGGTGGGTACCCGAGACTTGGAAAAATAGAATTTTACAGTTAGAAGGACTATACGGTGTTCCAAATCACTCACTTTCATTACTTGTTTCATTGACAGGTTGCACTAGGAAGATTATCCTGGAAAAATAGCTTCTCTTCTCGTCCCTGAAGTGAGTCCAATTGCTTTTTCCTGTATCTATTCCTGAGGGCCATCTGCTGTGCCCTCAGGAGAAACTTCTGCCGCTCCCCACGGATAGTCTGATGGGGAGCCAACACCCTGAACATTTCCTACACTTTCATTAGTGACGTTTACTTGAGAGTCCTCGGCTGGGATGCCTTTTGTTTCCACGGGACTTCCTCTAAAAATACCGCAAAATTAGGTTGTCAGGGAGATTACATGAAACCCAAATGATACATTTGGTATTTAATTCTAAAAGCACGACCGAGTAAAAACAGTGTTTATAGCTGCAAATTTTAAATCTGCTGCATAGTTATTCTGTTGTCTGCCACCTTCCCGATATTTAAAAACATCTTCCCAGGCAAGGGACATAATTCACAATTGCTCGAAGAAACAACACAGGGTGTAAAAGGAACACAAGCAAGAGACTGCGCACATGTCAAATCCTACAAGTACCTGCATTTCCAGGAACGCTGAGCACTGTCCCGATGGAGATCAGGATTGGGTATGTCAGCACCACGCCGACATTCACCAGGATATTGAAGGCTGTAAAATAAAGGATATAGATGATGAAGGGAAACTGATCTGCTGGGCTCTTTCCTTCTTAACATAATAGAACCAGTGTTTTTGCTAAACCTGCCTTCTACACTGTCTGCACCTTTGGTCAATTAATTCTCTGATTTGGGAGCCGGATGCACGTTTCTCCATTGAAGTAGTCCATTCTTCTTTCTCCTCTGCCACCTTGACTGCCTGATCTCTTGCCAACTGGCTGGCAAGGGGCATATTGAGCAAATGCAAAGCAGTGAAACAATCAATTTACGACACTGCTTATTAGCACTATAAAGGTAGGCTGGGGCCAGCCAGAGGTTGAAAGAAGACAATGATTGAAGTTTGGGCTTTTTCCCTTTGTTACTTTGTTATATTATGACATATTCCTGATAACTAAAAGGCTCTCATGTTACTGCCAAAACAAAGCTCTATCCAAGCATGGCCTATGCGCTTTTATTTCCTTTCTCTCGTGGTGAGCATCATGCAGGCAAACAAAAGTGTGCTCAGTGTAATGCACTGAACCCCAGGGACCTTTTCCGCATCCTGACTTGTGCACAGATTACCCAAGGGCAGGTCCACAGAACCAAAGGAAGGTGTAACTAGATATCTTTTAATTAATATCTTTGGATCTTTCTAGTAAAATATAAAACAATCATCTACCCCCTACAAAAATGATCAAAAATACATGTTTTCAAAAGAAAAACAATTATAAAAAAAGAAAAACAATGATAAGCTACATAGCATTGTTTTATTTTATTTTATTTATTTATTTTTTTTATGTAGGCTCCACACTGGGAATTTGGGTTATGACTATTCCCAGCTAGATTGTTTTTGGCCAGAAAATTATCTAGGCACTTTTAATTAGAATGTTTGGATCTTAGGAGATCAAGACCTGAGCTGAGATCAAGAGTCTGACACTTAACCCACTGAGCTACCCAGGTGCCCCTACATAGCATTATTTTAATGGATTTCAATCCAGTGTTTATTTTAGGGGTTGTTTAGATGTTTAAGAATGGTCCTCAATTCAGAGAGATCTCTTTGTAAATTACTCAACCATGTTGCCTATATCTCTATAGAACCAAAGATGGTTCTAGAACTACTCCATTCAGGACAGTGTTTATTCTTCTATGCTATCTACAATTCTTGCTTTAATTAAGCCCACTAACTTAGTTATCTGGAGTCACTTGTACTTGGTAGTTAGAGACAGTGGGTTTGACTTTCATAAAACTTGGGCTCCTTCATAATTATCATATAATAGTAGTGGCAATTAAGGCAGAGGACCTTCCCCAGTTAGTAACTCTTTCTCCTTCATGGCAAAGCTACAATGAAAATGTTCCTGCCCCTCAACTCTCTCCCCAGACTCAGGGAATCAACTATGGCACACTCTAGCTAAAGTCAGGAATTTTTTCAGTCCCACACAGACTCTGCTAAACTCCTGCACGGCTATTTTATTAGCTGAACTGGATATTTCAGTGGGTTGAAAGTATTAGTGTTTGGGTGAGAACTGAGCCCTTCCCACTCAGCAAGAAACAGGGGGCTTCACCGAAATGTGTTGTCTGTTTTTAATCAGTTCTTTAGGTAGAACACTTACTCATTTTTCTGACAACCTAAGGACAAGAATATATAATTCAATATGTTATCTGTAGCATGGGGCCCAGCCCAAGTTGAAATGGGCTTCAGACATGTCAGGGGAACGGATCAGGCCAACCTGCATTTGGGCTTAGGCACTCCCTGGCAGACAGCCTGACCTTCGAGAAGGAATGAAGCAAGGTGAGCCTAAGCAAATAAAAGCTGTAGTTACAGACAATGTGGGCAGGCCAGAGGACCACCGGCTATTTGTCCAGCCCAGCTCTAGCCAGATCATAGCTGGTTACAATGGAGAAGAGAGGGATGGAAATAAAAACTCAGGAACAGGAGCAGTGAAGATTGTATAAACCCTGGGGTGTGTAACACAGGAGAGAGACTGTCCCCTCATTTTATCACAGAGCAGCTTTGGCACCATGAGGACTGCTGTGGGCTGGGGATGGGCTGGGTGGAGCCCCTCTGGTACTGGGCAGCGCTATACCCAGTGGAGTATGGAGATCATGCTGCTTGATGGAGAACTAGTACCCAGTAGCCTGGGTGACACCCAACCTGAGTGGGGCTGGTATAGGAGCATGTATTAGACCTGCCAAGGGATATATGTTGGTGAAGGGCTACTTTGCAGAAAGCTGGAGATCATGTGTACACAGCTGAGGCCAAGAGTCAGTGAAATTTGGGTTATGACTGCTCCCAGCTAGATTGTTTTTGGCCAGGCAATTATCTAGGCACTTTTAATTAGGATGTTTGGGTCTTATGGAAACAGTGCTATTGAATTCCACTCAATTTAGCAGAGGTTATGAAAGGTCATAACTACATATTTCTGGACTTCAAACGTAGAATTCAGAGCACCAACAATTAACATCTGATCATTCTCTTGTCTCAGACCTCACCTTAGGGGCCTGGGCTAAAGTAGAGAAAAAGATGACCCAGTGCTTATGTGGGAATGAAAACCTGGGCATGTTTTTCTCCCAGGAATTGCAAAGCTGCTTCAGATTATGTCACCTTGATAAAGAAGGTCAGCTGAGGGTTGGCAGACGTCCTGCAGGTCAAGTGTGGTGGGTAAATGGGGACCAGGCAGAGGGGGCTGTCCTTAGGAAGGGTGAGGGCAGAGGAGCAGAATGAAAGTGATTTGGCTCTGAGTAAAGGGACATTGAGTCATGTCGTGGTTGCTGTTGTTCACCTGCTTGGGGAGACAAGAGTGGGTTTGTTATTTTTCAGGTTCCTTTTACAGCTAGTGACAGAAGCAGCACAGCTGGAAAGTGGGAGCCCCCTGGTTGCTCAGGTGAAGCAGACCACCTTGAGTTTGGGGAGTTTGGAGAGACAACATTAAAAAGTCTCCAGTTGACTTTTTCTTGGTCATCGACTAGGCACAGCCTACTTAGAAGGGCAACCAAGTCTAGTTCTGCCTTCTTCTCGTGCTTGCTGAGGGCTTCCTATCTCAAATTCCTTCTCCATACACAGCCCCAGAGTGGGCTGACTAAAATGCAGATGTGAGCCTGTCATCTCTGCTTAAAGATTTTTCAGTGGATTTTAAATCCACTCCCTTAATGGGTTTCCAGGCCCTTCATGACCTGTTTCTTTCCAGAATGTCATCTCCTTCCTTCCTCCTTATTCCTTCTGCACTTGGTATTCCATCCATTTTGATCCACTTTGAGTTCCTTGAATGCACCCTCTCCTCTCTCCCTCTGCTTGGCACACCGTGCTACACCTGGAACACAGTGACATCATACAGTACATCATGAAGAATGGACAAGGCTTCTTGAAGACCAGTGGTGATCAGAGTGGCCTGGGCCTCCAGCTCACACATTAGCCCATGGGAGGTATACCAGTTGAACATCTCTGATCTAATGAGGCAATAGCCTGCAAAGAACCTTCTAACCATTAGCCAACCTTAGGTAAGTTTGGGAAATAGAGGATGAAGTTTCCCAAGGGAATAACCCTACTGTGATCATTTATCTATCCAAGGAAAGTTCAAGTGACATAGGGAATGGAAGGCAAAATCCAGGGCCACTTACCCAGCCACAGCCCGGCCATCCCACAGAGATAGCCCCATGGCAGAGCTGCAAATGAGGACCAGTGCTCCACCTTGGTGAAATACAGGATGATCGGGGTGAAAGAGATGAAGATCAAATTGAAGAAACCCAATGTGGAGACAAAGTGTGCTGCTTCACCGAAGTTGGCACTTCCAAGAAACATCTTGAACAAAACCTTGGGTTGGGAAAGAAACTCCTTAGCCACACAGTTAAAAACTTTGCTAGAGCAGAAAGGCAAGTTCTACACAGTGAACTGACCAGCCCAGAGTTTATCCTCTATTTCTTCTTACCCCACCAACTCCATGGCACTAAATGGACCGTTGAGATAAGGAAGTAAAATGCCCTGTAGTCTTCATATGAAACAGCAAATGCCATAAAATGAATTCCTTATGATGTTGGAAACTGCTGAAGGCATTGTGTTAAATACCACCATCGGGGATGGGTATAGGGTGAATGATAACTAAGAGTGCAGGTAAACCCAGGACAATCTAGGGTTGAGATGCCATCAGTTCTTCCCCTCAAGCATGGGATTCATTTTACCCGTAATCTGACAGATACCACAAACTAAATTAGAGAGACGATCTTTATGTTGTTGAGAGACATAATAATGATGCCTTGGATTTATAAGCACCTTTCTCTCTGAGCTTAACATATTTTCACAAATACTGTTTATTCTCCAGATTAAAAAAAAATTTTTTTTCCTGGATATAAATATGTGTACAGAGGAAGATAACAAGGAGGTGTGAATGGTCAACATAAAGCCACGTTGGGCTAAGGAGGACCCAGGTGTCTAGTTGATACTTCTTGGCTTTATAACCCTTCTGCTTCCTATATTAATCCTTGAACAATGTAGAATGGAGCAGATCTTCCTGATGGTGCACATTTGATTTTATGCATGTCTACAAATGTTACTGCTCCCAGGATGAATACATCTATAACATAGTCAGGAGAATACCTCAATAAGACAGCCATCCCAGTCACATAGCAATTCCAGGGGTTGCTTTTAATTTTAACCGAACTTACTATTTTTTTCTCTTGAGAGAGTTAATCAAGAGAACTTGACCACGTGCTGTTCTTTGATCCCATCAGACACCTTAGTGGAGTCTCAGTTGGGGGCCAGTTAGACACTAATGGCAATTGAGTGAAAACTTGTCAAGCTTGTCACAGAATCACTGGGCCAGGAAATGTCAATATGGAAATAGACTCAGTGCCCTAGGAGCTGCAGTGTTGGTGAATAATCAGAACAGGCATCCAGGAGGGATGCAAAGGATGTTTCCTGCTTTTCACAGAGAAGTTTCTCACTGAAACACCAAGAGAGGGGAAAGTGGAACAGTGCCTTAGCTACATCCCAAAAGCTGGCTCTGAAAAGTGGAGTTTTGGGGATAACCTTTTAGATCTGCTCCCTTAGTCCTTGCCTCTGAAGTCAGGGGCAACGACTGAATAGATTTTCCACTGAAGACAGGCAGCTCCAGCAGAGAACGAGTGGTAAGTACATAGTGCAGATTCAGAGTATCCATCAGAGAGGAAAGGAGGCCCTTTGTTTCACTAATAACAGGAGTTCCTGTGGCTTCTGGTTAATACGTAGCAGTCAACTCGCAAGTGACGGCTTGCTTGTTATTTTTAACACCTCATTGGAGTTAAGATAATGACTGTAGATAGTTAACATAAAGAAACTTAAAGAGAAGAGGAGTCTTTATCCGCCCCTGCTGCAACTGATTGATGATTGTGGAGGGGCCGAGGCGTGGAGCATGGGCTTTGGACGTGGCCAGTCAGAATTTAAATCTTTCTATCACTGCCTGGCTGTGTGCCCTTGGGCAAGTTACTTAATCTTTTAAGCTTCAGTTTCCTCATCTGGAAAGTGGGGATCAGTGCCTGTGCCTCAGAAAGTTGAGTTAGCACAGGTGAAAATTTCTGGCCAGTGCCCAGCATGTAGCAAGTACCCAGTAAATGGTACTTAGTCTTATTTGAACCATCTTTTTTTTTTTTTCTTCTCTAGCCAAGACTTTCATTGTCCCGGCTTCCTTTATCACTCGCATCTAAGTTACGAATGACAGCTAACCACATAAAAAAAAAGGCACAACATACCTTATATAATGCAGATGTAGAGGCTGAGCCCACTGCGAATGCCACTCCTATGATAGAATCTGTGTGGAAATTATCTGCATATGCCATCATGACGATACCCGTAATGGCCATAATTGCAGCAACTATCTGTCAAGTAGAACGCAAAGAAATTTTTCTTTAAAAAATTGATGCCTCCATATCTCAGGGCAAACAACTGAAGACTTCATGAGAGTTGCTAAATGCTTCCTCAAACCCAATTACCTCTCATCCATCGCTCTTTCAAGGTAGGAAGGGTCAGTATTAACAAGAAATCAGTATGCTCGTGAGACATCCAGACAGAGACTATAAAAGCTGCTCACATTCTAATTAAGGGCTAGTAATTGCAGTTTAATCTTTTAGCTCAACTTCTTAGAGATTAATATCCATGTTGGTGAAATGAATTTAATAGGAAATCACTCCACAGCATTTTCATCTAGACTGTATTCTTTTTCTTCAAACAATTCAGCATACATTTTAATCAGCTCCTCAGACGAATGCATGATTTTGAAGATTGACCCATCACCAGGACTTGATTAGGGAGACATAACACTGATGCAGCTAAGAGGCAAAATTTAGGCCAAGGGACAAAAAGGAAAGCCTATCATCTCTCCCAGTGATTTATAAGGAGGGAGCTGAGTTTGCACTGGCACTGGGCATGTCAAACGGAGGCTAGTTCTTCTTTTGGTTTATGTGCAAATTAACCTCAAAAAGATATATTCTGGGGCGCCTGGGTGGCTCAGTTGGTTAAGCCACTGCCTTCGGCTCAGGTCATGATCCTGGAGTCCCGGGATCGAGTCCCGCATCGGGCTCCCTGCTCGGCGGGGAGTTTGCTTCTCCCTCTGACCCTCCTCCCTCTCATGCTCTCTGTCTCCCAGTCTCTCTCTCAGATAAATAAATAAAATCTTTAAAAAAAAAAGTGTTAAAAAAAAGATATATTCTAGAGCATTAACTGCCTAAAGTGAAATAGTCATCATTTGATTAAAATCATAATGGTCTACCATAAATTGATATGATCCTGGATCTATTCAAAACAGGGGTCCACTCCCTTAGTGAAACGCTGACTTGCATCTGTTTCTGAAATTATCTTGACCTGATTCCAGTAGAAGCCATTTCAAAGCCATAGTAAACAGTACAATGATGGCCCTGGAATAGGGAACGGTATGTCATTTCCCTGTGAAATAGTCTCACTGACTTTTAAACCCAGATGCAGCTTTGCAAGACCTGTATAGGCACCGGGTGGTTAATTTCGTTAAGGTTCAGTTCTGAGTATTCCTGAGTAAATCAGTTCCTCCGAGATAGCTTTTCCGCATATGTGACTTTTGTTGGCCCCTCCAAATATTATTAGTGAATTATTTATTACAACAAAATGTAGCCCTTTACACGTGACTATAGACTCGCTCCGGGCCAGTGCGGAGTATGAGAGTGATGACACATAATTTAGATGCTGCTGAAGCAATTCTTTTGTTAATGACCACCAAGAGCAAGTGCACTGTTGGTTTCAGACCTAGCTCCACACTGAAGCATCTTTTATGAAAAACAGCAGGAGTACTTGAGAACAGACGCTGACATGTCAGCAGTGAAAAACCGTCTTCATAAAGCGTTTTTCCAGGAGGCAGCTTGATGGGAGGCATTCCTCTTGCTGAGTGAATATCATATTCTCTAAAGCTCCCAGGCATGTGTTCTAGTTAGGCTTTGCCTCTCACTAGAGGGAATAGAATCTAATACACACACCACGAGGTGTCAAGGAAATTTTCCAAACAAGAAGTAATAGACTCATAAATAAACATGGGGAGGGGGTTATCTCGACCTGGAAATTCTGCGAGGGCTATCATTTTCTTTGATTTGGGGATTTATGGTTCAGCCCAGGACTTGCAACGATCCTTTGGGCAGTCTGATTTCAGAGAAATGAAAAGGCACGTTAGACACTGGCATTTTCTGATTTGTTTTCATGTTTAAATAATGTTCATGGGTCAAAGCGTTCAGGTGCGCAAGTCGATTTCCCTCATAAGACTGAGCTTGTAGGACAAGAAATTTGAACCAATATTTGTTTTCTTTCAGCCAAGCATCAGTTACGTTTTCTTGTTCAGATCAAGACAGGGTTATTAGAATACACTATTAATTGTAATGAACTTTAACATGATGTACTGTTTCATATTTAAAATTATTGTATAACACATAATATCTGGGTTTAAGCAATTGTGTGTAATATAGAATTCTGGGTCTAGGGAACTCTGAAAACAAACAGCCTATCGAAAAAAAAAAAAGCAGCAGCAAAAACAAGAACACTGTCTAGAAAGCGATGAACATTTGATACTATTACCCCAGGATATGGCTTCAGTTAGAAGCACTTCCTTTTCTGAGTCAGCCTTTAGTAAAAATATATATGCACAATATGTCTATTATAAATTTTCCCAAGATAGGAATTGCGTATGGACAAAGATTATAAATTTTATAGCAATTCAAAATTATAACTGTGATGAGCCTTTTAAAGATCTCCATTAGATTTTATATTCAACTTCTTGTAGAAATATTAGCTGGACCACTTAAGTTGACATATCAATTACACCAGTGTCTCTTTCAATTGCCTTCATGGAGAGGAGCATTTTTCATGTCGGGGGGCGGGGGGGCAGACAATGTAATTAGTTAAGTTCTAAAAGCATGAAAATCTGAATATTTGAGATGTTAGAAAAATTCTTCTCTATGGTATGAACAGTAATTTATAGGTTATATAGGTTTCCTGGGAGGAAAAGGTAAGTTAAATTATTTTCCACATTTTTAATTTAAAGTTCACCACTATCTAACAGAACAAATTTTCTTTGGCTGTGTTTTAAGGTACTTTCAATGTGTTTCTTATCTACACAGCTGGAACTCAGGGACGAGAGCTCAGCTAATCTAGGAAATGCAAGGAAATGTGGGCGGGGGGGGGGGGGAGGCTCAGTGGAGTGGTCATTCGGATCCCAGAGGTGGCTCTCCTGGCACCACTGGTTAACAGCAGAGTAGATACTTTTCATATTTCCAGAGAACGAATAGCATAAACACAGATCTGAGTCACAGGTATTTTCAGAATTGACCAGTTATCAAGGAAGGATTCGTAGTCTGTTCTTTTGAACAAAAACCACAAATGATTCTTCTTGGGCTCGGGACCCTGGACACGTGCCTGCAGGAAGCCCGTGCCTTAAATCCGGGTCAGAAGTGCTCCAACCCCAAAAATGCCTTTGAGCACATTAGCATCTAGACGAGGGATGCTTCTGCTGAAAAGATACCATCTCATGGTGCCCGCTGTCTGGCTCCAGAAAGACATGGTTCTCCTCACACCCTACTCCAGTTCCAGCCCTATAACCAACCGGAGTGTCTAAGTAAGACAGAACACTCACCACTATCATTCCGTGAATCTGGTTCGGGTGAGAATGTTTGTAACCATAATGACCATAACCCTCCCAATGCCTCATTTTTAACTTTGGAAACCTCTCAGACCTCTCACGTCATGGTGTGCCCACCTGGGGGGAATACCCCGAGGAAGAGGATTTATTTAGCCCATTTGCTCAGCATACCTCTTAAGGGACATTTCCTCCTGAGCCAGCTACCTTCCTCTGCAGACTCAGCCCCCTCTGAGAGCCTCCTGTCAACTTTCAGGGCTAATCAGAGGGAGACCATGAGGCTGTCTGAGTGTGTTCCTAAAGCCCAAAGATGGCTTTGGAGGTAAACGTTTGATAATATCACTATGCTATTTACCATATGTGACCCGGCATGAAAGCTAGGCTTCTGTCATCTCTCAAAGAATTCATCTGTATACATAAAAGCTAGAGGAACATCTGGCTTTTGGCTGTTTTCTTTTCTTGTATCGTCATTTCTTTTCTTTTTTTTGTCTCAGGCCTTCCAAACCAAAATGGTCTGGCCCGTCTCTTGATCTCTGTGAGTGTTCACCAGCCTCATTACAGTTACTGTTTCCCCCACTGACAAAATGGTGTCCAGAATTATTATTTGTGTAACAATACACGCTCTTCCAGGGTTCAGGGTATTGAAGTGAACCTTTAATCGCTTCTCTTTCTAATTGCAACTGAAATAACTTTCCTTAATTTGCCTTGTGGTTAACAGTGTTTCTAAATCTGGGTGAGCACGGAGGGGCTTCTGTGGCTCACAACGGACCCCTGAACCCCAAGCCTCCAGTAGCCTCTAGAAAGGAGAGCCTCAAAGGTACACTGCTGGCAGGGTGGTACTCAAGCCCAAGACTACAGGTCCGCAGCTGAAGGTGGGATACACATTAATAGCTTGGCCGGTGAGACCTGCACTGATGATCATCCTTATTTAAGTAGAGTCCATTTTCAAGGAAAACCAAGGCTATGCAGAAACCTTAAGCTTGTCCACATGCTACATTTAAGGTTCCATGAAGGTGAACCGTCTGTTTCACTCAAATCCAGTGAAATTGGACAAGAGTTGAAGTGTGAGAAATGAAAGAGGTGGGCAGTGTTTAGCCATACAGATTGTGTGTGTGTGTGGCGGGGGGGGCAGAGGGTGCCTGGGGACAGGTCAAACCAAGTTGTTCAGAGCCCCAAACCGAGATTCCCACCCCCCATCCCCCAACACACATCTATTTTTATATGAATCAAATCCATCTGAAAATGATCTCTAAGGGAGACCAGGATTGGAAAAGTGGGAAAGAACTGCCAGATGGAAAGACTAAAGGGTGTGCACGGAGGATAGAGCAGATCTATTGATGGCATCTCATTAAGGGATTACAGATTCCTTGCGGGCATAAAATTGGGAGAGCATTCCACCTCAGCTTTCTCCTCCCAGTATTCACGAATTTTTCTCCTGCCAAGAGGGGGATGATAAGGATGAGGCCCACTACCCATCCTCTGCTGCCTCCTCTAGGAAGCATGAGGGTTCTGGATAGAGGATTCTGCACTGCACACAAATGAGCAGTTAGGGCATAAATGTCAACCAAAGGCAAGATGGAAACAAAAGGTTATCTCGACTCTTCTCTAAATGTGTCATATTGGCACAAATCAGTAACAGCTCAGCTCCAGTGTCCTGATTTAGGGCACTCTGGAGCTCAATTTGAATTCAGAGAAGTGCAGGTTAAGCAGTGAAAGATTACATTTAACTGACATACTGTAGTCGGTCCGTGGTGGATCTTGGAAAGTAACCAAAGGAGCCACAGTTTGGAAAGTTAACTGCATAGGGACCCAGCTAGAAAAATATGTGAGTGTCAAGTCAAAGAGACACAAATTCATTTCCTAAATCTGCTAAGGAAGTTTGGGGTCTGCTGAACCATTCACCACCCACCAATTTTCTTCCTCCATTCAAGGAAATTTAAAAATGAAAGAAAAATTTCAATTAACAATATAAAAGATGAGACAGGGACAAGATCTGAAAGAAGAGTTTCAACTTCCTAGTCTGACATTTACTTTTCAGACTGGAGTGCAATCGATACCCGTGACGGAGAAGAAAACCCCCAGCCAGTGGTTCATTTTCTTTGAGGAGAACCTTTTTTTTTATTAAGGTGATTTCTCTGCTTTTCATGAATTTAAGAACTCTAGCTAAACAAGACAGGATCTTGAAGATGGGAAAACACCCTTTTTCAAAGCTGCAAGAGTTGGATTCTCACCAACATTTGTGCAATTAAAAGAAAAATCTTTTTAAAAAGTTTACTAATTTCCATGGGATGATCATATATCAGCTGTAAGCAACTCCTCATGAAAGAGTTTTTAACACAGCAATGTTTACCAGCAAATTGGCTGAAATGATTTTGTGCTAGAAAACTAAATGTACAACAAATTACCTTTCCATCTGTAATGCAATCAATATTCTAAGGAAACAAAAGATTAACAAGTTATTCATAAAACAGAATCATTTTTCCGTGAGCATTGCTACTTCTGGCCAACTGGTGCTCCGGAACAACCCATATTTACCGATTTTATAACTTAAAGCATCCTTCATTCTGTCTAGGGTGTCATTTGGATGTGAAAAATAGAAGTAGGAAATGTGATCATCTTAAATGTGAGCAATCTTCGGGTCAGACAAATGAAAATTACAATCCAAAAACAATCTATCTGTAAACTACTGAAACCTTAGAGTGAGTCAAAAATACAAATTGTAATCTGATGACCGAAAGCAGCACTTTAACTATTAAGAAAAAAGAGAGAGTAGTCCAAGTGGGGAGGCCTGCACGGGCTGTGCTTTGATCCTGTCTGGATGTAGGCAATGAAACCTGCATTTACATTGTCAGTGTTCTGTTTGCTCTCCTTTAATTTCTCAAATGACCCAATTATACATGTTCTTAATATATCTCAGGAAAAAACAGAATTGCTGAGACTGTCAAAAAGCAAAACGCTGACGCTGTTTTGGTTCTTTTCATATCCCATGGCCTCATTACAGGCGTCGTTAAAATTACACCTTGACGTTCTTCTGGATTGTGGCATTAAACACTTCCTCATGTTTCCCAGTGAGGAGCAAAGCATTTCCTGGTATGTAAAAAGAAAACTATCTGACTTCTACCATGCTTGACGTTCGTGTTTACCATTTTGCCATCTATAAGGTCTTAATTTATGTACGTCCTTATTAACAAGTATATACAACTCATTGGCTACGTAATGGTTTTTTTTTTCTACTGGGTCTTACTACTTACGGGTGCTGTAGTAGTTTCCTGAGGCTACTGTCACCAATTACCACAAACTTGGTGACTGAAAACAACAGAAATTTATTCTCTCACAGTTCTGGAGGCCAGAAGTTCAAATCCAGGAGAGCCATGCTCCTAACGGCAGCTCTGGGAGAGAATACATTCCTTGACTCTTCCAGGTTCTGGGGGTCACCCCTGCTTTCCTGGGCTTGTGGCCACGTCACTCCAACCTCTGTCTCTGTGGTCACATTGCCTTCTCCTCTTCTGTGCGTCTCTCCTGTGTGTGTCTCTTATAAGGATATATGTTATTGGAATTAGGGCCACCTAAACAATCCAGGATGATCTCCTCTTTGCATGATCCTTATGTTAATTATGTCTGCAAAGACCACTTTTCCACATAAGGTCAGATTCACAGGGTCTGGGAATGAGGATGTGGACACCTTATTGGAGACCACCATTCAACCCACTATAGATGCCAATTTTCGAATGGTGATGGTCTGTAGCCTCTAGGCAGATTTCCTAAATGTGTGATTTAAATAGAAGTTACACAGCTGAGTTTTTGTGTGTGTGTGTGTTTTTTTTAAATCTCAAATAAACACTGAACCTCTTTTGATAGGACACCTTGCATCAGTAAGTTCCCTGGTTAAATGCATTCATTCACTCCAATGCAACTGATTGTCTCACTGGTAAATCTAATAGAGAAGATACTGATTCCCTTTTGGTATTCAGATGCAATTGAAAGGGCAGAAAAGCCCCTAAATCTCCTCTTTTCCCCTTTCTTCTGAGAAGGCCCTCCAAATCCTCATGGGTAATCCATGGTGCTGGCAGATAGAAAAGAGAAAGAACTTGTAACCATGAATTTATTGACTATATCCTCAAATATCTACTGAGCCCTGTTTTGTCCCCTGCCTTATTCTAGGTGCCAGAGACAGAGGCAGAGTTGGCTTCATGGGCCTATGATCTTTGCAGATGCATAGGGTCCCATGATTAGAAGGGCCTTGCCCTTGGTTTCATGCTCTGCTGTTGCTGCGTTGAAATTATGGACAGATTTTTTTGAGTGGTCCCTGTGTTATTTAAGAAACAAAACATATCAACATAGGGGAAGGGAAGGAAAAATAAAATAAGATAAAAACAGAGAGGGAGGCAAACCATAAGAGACTCTTAACTATAGGGAACAAACGAAGGGTTGCTGAAGGGGAGAGGGGCAGGGGGATGGGCTAGATGGGGGATGGGCATTAAGGAGGGCACTTATGCCGAGCACTGGGTGTTACATGTAATGACGAACCACTGCATTCTACTCCTGAAACCAAAACTACACCATATGTTAACTAACTTGAATTTATTTATTTTTTAATTTAAATTCAATTAGCCAACATATAATAAACGATTAGTGTCTGACTAACTTGAATTTAGATAAAAACTTGGGGGGAAAAATAAAGCTGCTTTAAAAATTAAAAAAAAAGGAGTGGTACCTGTGTTTTCATTTTGCACTGGGCCCCACAGATTATGTAGCTAATCCTGAATGGAGCAGTGAGCAATATAGGGAGGGTCCCTGCTCTCAAGGATTTGTCAGGGTACTTGAGGGTAAACATCTAGCACCAGTGTTTCACATATAAAAACATAATGGAAAGTCCTTTGGATGGCAAATCTAAGTTAGCTGGTGGAGAGTGTGGTACACATCTGGGTATATTCTAATGTATCATGGACTGGTTCAGAGTTTCTCAACTTGTCTGCTATCATAGCTTTCTACTTCTTGTTCATGTCAAGCTTCAGTTCTGAATCTTTGAGCAGCATCTCCCAAGATACAATTGGAATTTGCTATTAAAAAAGTTTTAAGGGTTGGGTGCCTGGGTGGCTCAGTCGTTGAGCGTCTGCCTTCGGCTCAGGTCATGATCCCAGGGTCCTGGGATCGAGTCCCACATCGGGCTTCCTGCTCGGCGGGAAGCCTGCTTCTCCCTCTCCCACTCCCCCTGCCTGTGTTCCTGCTCTCGCTATGTCTCTCTCTGTCAAATAAATAAATAAAATCTTTAAAAAAAATAATAAAAAAATAAAAAATAAAAAATAAAAGTTTTAAGGGTTAATGGCCATCATCAACTCTCTCTCTAGTATTAATTTCAGCATTTAGGGGGCCAGGGACCCTGAAGTCATTGCAACAAGAACAATATTTGGACAGAAAAATATGCTTAAAATCCAGTCTTGGACATCTCTTTCAGAGAACAATAAGTATGTGATGTTTATCTTCTGGGAAAAGGCTTTTCATTTGTACCTCTTTCTAAAGAATTACGTTCTCAATATTTTCATCATGGTGGCATGCCAGATGACATGAATGAGATCTGGCTCCTTAAATCTGCATGGCTTTCAATCAACCTAACCTAGAGCAAGCATACAAAAGAATTTTTTTTCAAAACCATATTACTTCTGAAAGGAATAAACTCAGAACTGAAGTGGCTGGTGGGAGTTTAATACAGTTCAATGAAGGATTTGTACCCGAAAGTACAAATTGCTGCTTTTCGTTCCATTTCTAGATTAGTCACACTAGATATATAGCCACTTTTAACAGCATTGTGCCATTACCAGTGACTTTAATTACTCTTTGGTAACCTTATCTACTTACACCAACGTTAATTAAATCCATCTCGGGGCCGGGGGGGAGGGAAAGCATGAGGGAGTCGTCCCAACATATGTTGATTGAAAAAAAAATCATAATCTTTACTGTGGCTAATTTTCTCAGACCCTTCTTTCCTGAGGACAGAAGGAGTTGATCACACCACTAATTCTTAAAAAAGAACTTATTTTTCCCTGTCTGTTTTCGGGCCTCCTGTTGAAATCAGCTGACTGCCCAAGGGAGTCTCTTTATCCTTTCATGATATGGTAATTGCCTGGGTGTCCTAATGCATCTTCAAATTCCAATTTGTACTCAGAACCAATGGGGAAAGTTTGACAGAAATTCCATGAAACAGAGGAGCTCTCCCGATGCCAAGGATTTACGATTACGGGTGTCCTCACACATTGAATCAAGTGTGCCATTACCCTCACTCCCATGAACCTGTCTTTCAGCACGATCCACGACAGCAAGAAGACAAAGGCTTTGTTACAACAGAACAGAGCAGAGACATCCGTGGCTGTCAGCTTCTTTAAAGCCAGTAAATACAGGTAATTAGTCAAAGTCCATAGAATAGAAAAGGGAGCAGTTCTTTTAAGAAAGAGCTTCAATGTCAGACCATCTTCACCAAAAATCCGACTGCATTCCCTAGGAAAGAAAAAGAGATTAATTGTCAGGTACTAACTGTGACACATTTTGGGTTGTCTAACTCTTGACAGCCATTTTCTGGCAAGAACACAAACACTCAACACCCATTGTTCATCTGTGGAACTTACTGAACCCAGGGCTCCCACCTACGGGCCACAATGGGGGCAAAGGGTTCCATGGACAAGAGCCCACGTCTCCCCAGGCGCAGAGCTAGGCCCTTTCCTACCTAGATATTCTCTCGAGATGGCTGGGGCAGCCAGTCTGCTGCTGCTGAACATTCTCAGAGAAGCCTGGAGAAATACAGAAATGAGTATTTTCTAGGATTACCAGCTATTAGATGAGAGAGAAGATTCTTTCCCAAGGGGCGAATACAACAGGACCAAGAGGGCTGCGACTGTGTGAACAGGTAGAGATGACTTGCAGCCATGGAAAGCCACATGAGGTGGGATGTTATTTTTCCTAAGGGTCAAGGCCTCTTTCTAATGTATCCGCCCAGTTGACTAATTTGTTTTTCCTCTAGCATTTTTAAGACAGAAAAAAATGATGAAAGCTTCTGTGATGACCCCAAACTGGTAAACTAACTAAATAAAAAATCAAACTCAGGTTGTATTTATATACACATATTTGGCTGTTTTGGATGAATTATCTGCATTTATTGTGTAAAAATAATCACTTCAGTTAAATGTTTGCTTTGTTTGATTTCTGACTAAATTGATTATTTAACCCAAGGGGCCATTTTAATCAAAATGTTCAAACTAGCGATACAGACAGGCAGTAATGACGTGACAGAGTAACAGTGTTTGTCTGACTACGGATTGAAAAGAGGCTCGCCATTGGGATAACTCAGCTTTATTTTTTCCATTCAGTTGTTCATGAACATCCAAGCATTTACTGGGCAACTATCATGTGCCAGGCAGTGTGTTCTCAAGAGTCGTATAAATATCTTGTTCAAAGCAACAAGTTACTGATGTTTGCATGGTTATAATGAAATCTACATGGTTTCTCCGGCACTGATTTCTCTTCTAGCTTTTCCTGAAAAGAAACAATTGTGCCTCAAAGTATTTTGCAAACCAAAGTCATCTCGAACCAGTGTTTGCTCCACACGTATGAAGCAACTTACCCCATGGGAGGGCCACATGGAGGGAGGGAGTGACAAAGTGGTGAGGCTCTAAGCACAGGAGTATGGCCTTCAATGTCAAGTCTCACGGTAAACACTGCTTCCAGGCAGCTGAGAATGCTGGGAATTGTAGGCCAGCAAATCCCGGGAGGTTAAAAATGCGTATTGCACACACAGAAACCAGTGTAATAGTTTTAGTTTTTATGTGGGGGACAACTAAAACGGAAGGATTTTTGTAAAATAAAAATGCGATCTCCCAAAGGGAAATTCTAACTTGAGAGAGACAAAGCTTCAAGAAAGGGGCGAAATAACCTAAAAACAAAGTCTTTTGTAAACAGAAATCGCACCTACTCACACACCCAGGGAAATGGAGGGCATCTCTCGAGCCCCGCGGCCAGGGAGATACATGGAATCAGAGCCACAGTTGGCTCAGGACATCCTACCTGTCTGTCCTCACAAAGGGATCTGCTCTGTGAGAAAGTCTCCAGGGAGAGCTGGAGCTGAGAGCCGTGGGCTCATCCTGACATCTACAAGTACTAAATGACTTTGAAATACACATTGATGAAGAACCACAACAAATGCATTTCTGAGGAAAGGATTTCTTTTCAAATCGCTGGCCCTGGCCGCTGATGGTTCTTCCTTCCCAGAGCCCACCATCATGCTGGGTTGAGAGCTCTCAAGCAAAGACTTTGAATGCAGGAGAGCACACATTCTGACCCTGCAGGCAGGCACAGTGACAGGGAGAGCCCCCTCCCCCAGGGGGGCAGAGACTGTTCTTTTCACCTGGCCCCGCCTGGCCCCCTGGTGTTGGCTTCCTTATCAGTCCCCTCTTCTTCCCTTCTCTTCCTGCCAACCTTCTCCCGGTTTGTCACTGCTATAGCAGGACTTAAAAATGGTCTCCATTGAAACGCCAGGTCACCGGTGTAGCACCTTATGCTGTTTAAACATTAAGCGCTCAGGAATGTGACAGTTCAGAAAAAGAAAGGATTACTTTAGATAAGCAAGTAACAGTGGGGCTCTCCTTGGGATGATGAGATCAGAATTTCTAGGCAAGAGGCACTGACAGGTGGCAAAGCTTGCACTGAAGCTTAGAAGCTGGGGGACACTAATAAATTAATTATGCTCAACATTGGGGTGCCTGGGTGGCTCCGTCATTTAAGCATTTGATTCTTGATTTCAGCTCAGGTCATGATCTCAGGGTTGTGGGACTGAGCCCCATATCAGGCTCCACACTCAGCTGGGAGTCTGCTTGAGATTCTCTCCCTCTCCCCATCTCTCCCTCTGTCCCTCCCCCCCTCACAGGCTCTCTCTAAAATAAATACATAAATCTTTAATTATGCTCAACACTGTTACAGCACCTACTAGTTATTGAACCCCTTCTATATGTCAGATGACATCTTAAGCACATTTCATAGGTGCTGACGGAGATGAGTATATCTTTGGCTCTAGTTTCATGCTTTCTAGAGATTTTTTTCCTTAAGAAAACACCCTTGTCAAAACTATGGTTTATAAATATTTTCTTATTAAATTTCAAATTCATATGATGCAATTAAATGCTCTTGATTGTAATATCAGAAACGATTTCCAAATGAATAACCCCTATGATCTAAATTTGATACATTATTGAAAATTCTTTTGATGTTAGTGATAAGAAAAAAACTGAAAATGGTGATTCAAGGGAAAAGAAGAAACTAGTCAGAGGGTCTGAAGCTGTGGGACACATTCTGTTTCCAGTCTTCTACCCTAACTCTATTTTCCCCTCGTTCTGCCATGAGAGTTGCAGGAAGTGCCTTCTTGGCAGATGGTGTTATGAGTCTACAAGGAAAACAAGATCAAGGATCTCAGAATTTTCTGGCAATGTTTACCTCTCCTATGGGGGGGGGGCGCTCTGGAGAATAGTCCTGTCAAAGACAATGTTTTCTCCTTGACAATAACAGCCCTTTGATTCAGTTTCAGAAATCGTCAACTTCACCATACTTGCACTAACAGGTGGAGGTGTCTTGTCAAATCACAGGTTTTGCTAAATTCGGCATTAGTCAGACATGAGAGAGGTGGTGGAGATGAAGTTGATTCCCAAAACAACATTTCTGTCAGAAGCAGCCTCTTGTAAATGTGTTATCTCACATAAAACCAAGTCGGCTTGCTTTGAGGTGTTCTGAGGTGCTACATCCCATACTAAACTCTTGTTTTTGTCAGCATGTGTGTCTAAACCATAGGTGCATTGGAGTAGAACATACATGCTATGGATAAACTATTTTCAAACAGGGAGAATTTTAGTCTGATAATCATGTCCCCTGCAATTGCTTATGAAATATTGTTATTAAAAAAGACCTTATGCCCCAACATCACACCTATTTTGATGGGAATCAAATACAAAGTATCCTTAGCAATCACAAATAGGTGTCAGTCTTATTTCTTTCCTCCAAACCAGAAGACATTTATTATTTTTATAGGTTTTGTTTAATTTTAATTAAATAATCATGGATACCATGGAAAATCAGCTCACAGTGTGACTTTAATATTCTTGGGCACTTCCAAGCTGGTGATAGAAAAGGGAAGTTGAAGATACACACTTTGCAGTTTAAGTTTTTAAGAATAGTCTGATAATGCACTTCTTCTCGTGAAGGACAGGGGCAAGAAAGAAAGGTGATTTTGGCTTCTGAAAGATGAGTTTGTTGTCATTCTGCCCAGGAACAATAAACTGGTGTAGAGAACTGTCCCTCTCTCACTGCCATCCACTGAGGTCTTGACTACTGTTTTGTCTCCATGATTAGAGTGGCTGTCCTGGAAGTTATTCCTTCCCTCTGGGCCTTTCCTCTTCAAGAACCTGTCTGTTAGCAAAGATACTTTGACCCAAATGCTGCTTTTTGCCTTCATTGAATGCTATGCAGGACTGGTCCTGCCAGCTTCCTGAATGCTCCAAGATGGGACTGCAGAGGCCAAGTTTAGCACAGAGCAATTACTAGAACCATGGCACTACCAAGTTCATAGCTGGCGACCAACAGTGAAGGCCCCATGTGCTCCCAGCCAGCAAAGAACGGCATCTTCTAAACCTCAGGGCTGGGCTGCCTGGGTGGCTCATTCCGTGGAGCATCGACTCTTGGTTTTGGCTCAGGTCATGGTCTCGGGTCATAGATTGAGCCCTGTGTCAGCTTCCCACTCAGAGTGGAGTCTGCTTGGAATTCTCTCTCCCTCTGTCCCTGCCCCCCGCCATCAAATAAATAAATAATCTTTAAACCATCAGGGCCAAACTTCCTTTTTTATGAAACCAGATCATTTTATCTGCTTAGGCACCACAGTGTCCAGAATATTAAGCAAATGTTTTTGTAACAATTAATCTAATTAATACACATTTTTTTTTTTCCTGGGCTTGAGACATTGCGGTGTTCTTTTAAAACATGACTTTCTGAGATAATTCTGGATTTAAATCTGGATCCTGTTATTTAGACCTGTGTGACCTTGGACAAGTTATTCAACCTTTCTAAATTTGTTTCCGCTTGTGTTAAAATGGGAATAACACCACCTTAAAAGGTACATGTTACCACCAATGATGATTAATTAAGATAAGATCTACAAAAGCACCAACACAGTGCCTGGCATGTGGCAGACATTCAATAATTTTTTGCTGTGTGTGTGTGGGGGTGCTGATTCTGTTTCCTAGTTCTCATGTATTCATTACCAACCTTAGATCCTGGCTCTCCACACTCCCCAAGTCAGCTCAGTTCATATACCATAGAGATGAAATTATGCAGATTTTCATGAAATTATTTTAAAACATCGTGTATTGGCCATTTAACATGAAACCTACCTGAATTTTTTCATCGGAGATTGTTTTTCTTGAGCAGTGGCCAGATGACCGGAATAATAGACTGGGAAAAACATAATGTTCCAGTTTGTTGAAAACCAAGTCATGAAAAATGGACAGTAGAAGTTCTTGTAAGTAATTTTTACAATCTGTGTGGTTCCAACCCAAGATGATGACACTGACAAGATGATCAAGAGTCCCCAGACGGCCTTCAGGACCATGGACGTGCAGGACCGGCAGCGAGCCTTGCTTCTGTTTTCTTGACTGCTGTTCTCAGGAAGAGTCTGTGTTCCATCCTCCCCTGAAAACAGGAGAGAAACACAAATGTGTGGAATTCAGGTTATAGGACAGCAACCAAAGAGGCAGACAGTAGAATCACCAGTGTTTTTGCTTTTTTACCCTCATTTAAAGAGATTCATAACTCTGGCTTACTTTCTCTCCTGAATCTTTGCTCTGTAAGGTACAGTATGGATCTTGACCCCCATCCATTGTCAAGGCCATGACAATGCTCATGAACTTGGTGGATGTTATGCTGTCTTTTCATGTACCCTAATCATTTCCTCGTAAAAGCATTACATATTTCAGCCCCAAAGACTTTGGCCTTGGCCCCATGACCTGCTTGGTCTAATCAAACATGAACAGAGAGATGTGAGGTAGGTCGCCTCCCAGAAGAAGCTTAAAGAGGCATCACAAGGTCCCACTAAGCTCTCCTGCTCTTCTTTTCTGTCACTAGAATGGAATATGCCAAACAGGAGCTGCCCTTTCCGTCTCTGTGGGAGAATGAGCAGAGCCCAGCCAAAGCGGCCCTGTATCTGCTGACATGAAAAGTAAGTGAGAAATAAGTATTTGTTGTTCTACTCCACTAAGGTGTTTGGTTTTTTTCCCCCTGAAACTGCAGCAAAGCTGACTATTAAATTGGAAAGCAATGTGTCCCAAGAACAGAGCAAATCCTGACTACACAAAGTCATTTCCCACATCGGAACAAATTGCAATTTAATGTATTTCTGGGAGCACAATGAGTTCTGCTTTGTGTTTTTACATTTACTAAGAAAATTTAGTAGCATTTTTTTAGATTAAAATAATCAAAACTCTCTGAAAGTGACAATCATAAAGACCTTCTCTCTTGATAGAGAAAACAAGTTCAACACAATAAATTTATGCACCTGTCCGGAGGTTAAAAGAAAGCTGAGGTCACCCTGAGTCCCCAAGCTGAGATCCCAGGTGTTAGAATCCTGAGGGAAGGGAGGCAGAGTTGTCTGCAAGTTCTCTCCTGCCTCCAGGCACCTCCTTTGAGCACAGGGTTTATCCTAGGTGTTAAGAGAGTGGTGTGGTCTGCAGATTGTAAGTGGTAGTGGATGGGTTTCTCACTTTATCTTCCCCAGAACCTGCTGTCTTTCTCTCGCTGAATGTTGGTCCTATTGCTTAATGAGCCAGGCATGACTGCCCCCCTGGGGTAAAAACTTTCACCCAGCCAAGGCTTTCTGATATAATTATTTGGGGAGGGGGGTAGCAAGACTTGAAGGTGAATTCTGAATTGGGGACTATAAACCAAGTAATGACAAACACAGTAATTACTGTATGACTTCCAAGTCTTCTAAACAGTACTGGATTCTTAGGACCCAGGCCTCTAGAAGATGAAAACTGGTCTTCTTTTTTTCCTGTATTCAACAAAATCTTAGAGAGATCACCAGGAGCTAGTTAGCTCTTTGGGTCCTAAGGGTTCAAAGATGAAAGACCTGAGCTCATGGCCCAGTGTTAAGCCAGAAAACATCCAAAATAGTGTGATAGGGCCAACTATGGCAGATACAAGGCCATGTGGAGGCAGAAGAGAAGCACTGGTTAAGGGACAGGCTGGGAAATGATCAGGAGAAACGTCCATGATGCAGTAACATTGACACGAGTCTGGAAGTGTGAGCCAGCTACCTCCCTTTATTGTGTATAGACATTTCCTGCTCTTGATAACAGTTCTGCAAATCCTCTCTGTAGCCACGTGGCTTATGCAGAGAGTAGAGGGGAAAAATATAAAATGAGTGAGAGGGTAGATTAAGAGACTCTTGTCTTGGGAGGCTGGGAAGGAAACGGTAACCTACCGGGTGAAGTAGGTATTATCACTCCCATTTTACCGATGAAAAAACTGAGATTTGTGTTAAAAGTTGTCCCAGGTTGAACCCAAGTTGGTATGACTCTAGCGTCCAAATCTTTTATTCTGGATATTCGTTCTATCTAGGTTTCAGGCTTGAGCTCTTCATTTAAGCACTGGAAGTTTCAGAAACGGTCTGGAGAAAAATTTCTGCTTCCTGACAGGAATGGTAGTCTGGCATGAGGCTTAAGAGGAGTGATGCCTAAGAGAAAGGTGTACTCTTCAGATTACATTATTCTCAGGGACCATCTCATAAAGGAGGAATGATTCTATAAAGGTTCTCAGTATCCCGTTAAGGTGGTATCTGCCTTCACTGTCGCCTTCTTTGAAGACTGCTCGGTGCCACCCTCATTCCATGGACAGTACTCTTGACGATACCACTAGTCACCTAGATCCCTCCAGAGCATCGACCCATTCTTCTTCTGCTAGCTAGATTTAATTGCTGCCAATTCTTGACTTTTACCATCTGTCGATACCATAGAAAGACTGGGTCTCCAGAGCTCTTTTATTTTTCTGGTCATTTTAAATTCTCTATAGTCCTGCTTAGATGTATAGTTTTGTATATATCATTACAACTGATATACTAGGAATTCCATCCATTACCATGAAACTTGATTAGATTTATTAATGAGGCCACTGGAATTTGGAAACATGAGTGCAACCATTGTATGGCCCTGAGCTCATGTTTGATTCCAGTCTTAGCTTTTTTATCTGTCAAACAGTGATAACAGTTGTCTCATGGGATTCGTTTTGAAGTTAAGTATAGAACATTCATGAAAGCATGGTGAGCTGCTCTTCAGATTATTCCCCTTTTCTCTTTTTTCTTTGGTGCCCTGGAATATCCCCCAAGTGCCTTCTGAATCATCACAGAAAGTAAATTATGTCCCATGTGATCTTTAATGGTATAGCCTTTAAAATTTGTAGTCTGCATATGATAGATAGGGCAAGTCTTTATTAATCAGTATATTTAATTAACTGAACATTCTATTCTGCAGATAACTGGGATAATAGGAATATTACTGCAACTTATTAAAGCCAATTAAAACTTTCTGATGATTTAAGATGTCATTTTCTTCATTTTTAAAAAAGAACCTCAGCCTTGGGGTCAATAGTTGCTGAGATACTATTTTAAAATATTGTCACTTTTTGAAAAATATCTTTTCTTATATTAAAAAAAAAAACCCTCTTCTCAAATTAGGAGAGCCCTAGAAGAGGCTTTTCTATTTCCTGTATACTTTTGTTACCACCCCCATCCATACTAAGTGCCCTGAATTCCATTTTCTTCTGTTTATTTTTTTAAGCCAGTTTTCTCAAAGTTCTGTTTTATTTTCAACTAACCATTTATTTTGGATGGAGTCTTTTGTTGGTTTTGCTGTTTTATTATTGTTTTTAAGGAAGCAAGAGATTTAGTATGTTACTGACCAAGCTGAAGGAATGAGTGGAAGGAGAGACTGAAAATGCAGGTGGCAGAAATGGAGAGGAGGTGGTCATGGACATAGCAAAAGGAGTTGACAATGGAAAGGTAGAAACACACACGTTAAAGGCGGCCCCAAAATATGGTAATTGGCAAACAAAAGAACAGAGACATCGCAGCACAGAGGAAAGCGTCTGTTAGCATACAATCGTTGATTGTTTCGCTCTTTTCAGAAATGGAAGTGCAGTCATGTGACAAGAGGAAGTGAGTATGAACTGGGAATTTGAGCACATTCTCTAGGGAAGGCAGTAAGATGTCCACTGCCAAGAAGGCCGGTATGGCCAGCAGCCTAGTGGACTCAGCTGCATCGGAAAATGATTAACTTTGCTGGGAAATCCCTGGATCTAGTTATGAGATTCATCTAGCAATTCCAGTAACCTGAGTAACCCGGCAGTTGGTGAGTGTGGTCAAGCGGATGTGAGGAAAGTCTAGAGGTCTTGACTGACCAGTAAATGCTGATCAGGGAGGCAGTGCAGTGTCCTGAAGAAGGTGTAAATCTAGGAAAACTAAGAGGGTTCCAAGGACCGCCAGTCCCGATGGGCACAAAAGCAGAGTCTGTGATTTTACTGCTGTTTTTATTCTCAGAGAGGGAGTGGGCTATTACTATCCCAGGGTTGAGATCAAAGATGCTGGCATTTGACATCTTCAAGATGAGAGAACTAGTTACCTTATAAACTTAATTGGGTGTCACTGTTTAATCCTGTGTTAAGCCCTTCAAGGACCGTCTTTGGTATTTGCTTTCTCTGCTATACTGCACACCACTAACAGATCCTACTACACATTTCCTTTCTTCCTTCTTCCACTTGACAAACCTTCCCCACTCCCACCCCTGAGAGTCCATGGAACGTCTCTGCATTCTGGGCCAATGGTACCATCTTTCGTGGCTGGTTAGAAGGTTACCTAGATGTACTATTATTTAAGAGGAGGTCACCAGCGTACCTGATCTGTTCTGCCTTTCGACTCTGTGTCCGCAAACTCCAGAGGATCCTCGGCTCTGAAGTTCAAAAATAGGAGCAGAAGAATCTTCAGTGACAGAAAGAGGGGAGAGTTGTCTACTGATACCACTGTGGGAACTGGGGTAGTTGGCCCCTGGTTTACATCGAGTAACTGATGATCTGGAGGTACCTGGGAAAAAAGAGTTCAAAGCAGTTTGAGAACTTCCCAGAGGAAAAACTGGAAACAGATTAAAAAAAAAAGATTTTTTAAAATTTATTTATTTAAGCGAGAGACAGAGAGAGAACGAGCAGGGGCGAGGGGTGGGGAGAGGGATAAGCAGACTTCCCGCTGAGCAGGGAGCCCAACCTCAGGACCCCGGGGTCATGACCCAAGCTAAAGGCAGATGCTTAACAGACTGAGCCACCCAGGCGCCCCCAAACTGGAAACAGATTTTAAATGCCTTGGCAGTAAAATACATGGTGGCAGCAATCACAGTCCTGATATCAGGGACATTCATTGAGCTCAATTCGGATTTTATAAGAGAGGCTCCTAAAAAGAAAATTCTAAATTGGCAAGGTCTGTGTCCCTAAGATAAAGGGTCTTTTTAGATAAATCTGTCAACCAAAAATGAACTTCAGAAAATGGTGTTTGGGTTGATATATCTGTTCTGAATTAGAACTGTTAACGCAGTCAAATAGTTTACCTCAAGGGAAGGAAACGCTTGCTTCTTCCCTTTTCCTCCTAAGATTGACTGTTGAATTCTTGACTGGTGAAAACTGCCAGAGGTGTCTCCTATGAAGCCCACTCTCCACTTTTCCACTGGATTGGTCACAAAAATCCGATTTGGTTGTGTCTCCTCAGTCATGTCTGGCCTCTCTCCACTCTTACAGAGGAAAACCCAGCCTTCAGAATCCTCCGCAGCCTAAGCCCCTCCTGATCCTGATTAATCTTCTAAGCACCCCTGCCCAGGGTGGGCCGGCTTTACGGGCCTGCAAGCAGTGCAGCCGCATGGGGCTCAGAAGGACCTCACACGCCTCCCCCACAACAGTGCATAGTTGCCATGTGGAAGTGCTTTTATCTTTCTTTTTTTAATTTAAATTCAATTAGCCAACCTATATATAGTACATCCATCAGTTTTTGATGTAGTGTTCAATGATTCATTAGTTGCGTGTAACACCCAGTGCTCATCACATCCCGTGCCCTCCTTAATGTCCATCACCCAGTTACCCCCTCCCCCCAGCCCCCTCCCTTCTGTAACCCTCAGTTTGTTTCCCAGAGTCCAGAGTCTCTCATGGTTTGTCTCCCTCTCTGATTTCTTCCCATTCAGTTTTCTCTCCTTTCCCCTATGATCATCTGTGCTATTTCTTATATTCCACATATGAGTGAAACCATATGATAATTGTCTTTCTCTGCTTGACTTATTTCACTTAGCATAATACCCTCCAATTCCATCCACATAAATGGTAGGTATTCATCCTTTCTGATGGCTGAGTAAAATTCCATTGTATATATGAACCACATCTTTCTTTATCCATTCATCTGTTGAAGGGCATCTCGGCTCCTTCCACAGTTTGGCTATTGTGGACATTGCTGCTATGAACATTGGGGTGCAAGTGCCCCTTCTTTTCACTACATCTGTATCTTTGGGGTAAATACTCCGTAGTGCAATTGCTGGGTTGTAGGGTAGCTCTATTTTTAACTTCTTGAGGAACCTCCATACTGTTTTCCAGAGTGGCTGCACCAGCTTGCATTCCCACCAACAGTGTAAGAGGGTTCCCCTTTTTCCACAGCTTCGCCAACATTTGTTGTTTCCTGTCGTATTAACTTTAGCCATTCTAACTGGTGGTATCTCATTGTGGTTTTGATTTGGATTTCCCTGATGACAAGTGATATAGAGCATTTTTTCATGTGTCTGTTGGCCATTTGTATGTCTTCTTTGGAGAAGTGTCTGTTCATGTCTTCTGCCCATTTCTTGACCAGATTATTTGCTTTTGGGTGTTGAGTTTGATAAGTTATTTATAGATCTTGGATACCAGCCCTTTATCTGATATGTCATTTGCAAATATCTTCTCCCATTTCATAGGTTGCCTTTTAGTTTTGTTGACTGTTTCCTTTGCCATGCAGAAGCTTTTTATCTTGATGAAGTCCTAATAGTTCACTTTTGCTTTTGTTTCCCTTGCCTTTAGAGACGTGTCTTGCAAGACGTTGCTGCGGTCGAAGAGGTTGCTGCCTGTGTTCTCCTTTAGGATTTTGATGGATTCCCGTCTCACATTGAGGTCTTTCATCCATTTTGAGTTTATCTTTGTGTATGGTGTAAGTTTGGTCCAGTTTCATTCTTCTGCATGTGGCTGTCCAATTTTCCTAGCACCATTTATTGAAGAGACTGTCTTTTTTCCACTGGATATTCTTTCCTGCTTTGTCGAAAATTAGTTGACCATAATGTTGAAGGTCCATTTCTGGGGTCTCTATTCTGTTCCATTGATCTATGTATCTGTTTTTGTGCCAATACCATGCTGTCTTGATGATTATAGCTTTGTAATACAGCTTGAAGTGAGGCACTGTGATGCCCCCAGCTTTGGTTTTCTTTTTCAACATTCCCCTGGCTATTTGGGGTCTTTTCTGGCTCCATACAAATTTTAGGATTGCTTGTTCCAGCTCTGTGAAAAATGTTGATGGTATTTTGATAGGGATTCCTTTGAATGTGTAGATTTCTTTTATCTTTCAACTTATTTTCTGTAAGTGATTTCCAGTGGGATAATGGAGCACACACAGGGGGCTTGGGCTCAGAGCCTCAGCTCAGGCATGGTCTTGCCTCCTGTTGCCTCCCCACCTCTTGGGGTGGGTTTTCAGCCACCACTCCCATGTCTTTGCTTAGCAATCCTACAGGGACCTGAGTACTGGTGTGGGGAGTGTTGGGATCTCAGGGTGAGACCACCAGTGTGTGTGGGGGCCTGCACTCACCCAACAAGTATCCCTGTGTCCAAGGGAACAGATGTTAAGTAGGAAATAAAAAATGGAGAAGGAGAAAGAGAGAGAACATAAGAAAGGAAAAAGCCATTTTCAGCTTTTTGGAAAAGGGGCTCTACATTTTCACTTTGCCCTGGGACCTCTAATTAAACAGCTAGCCTTGCTCCAAGCTGAACAGTCCATTCCAACTAGGCTGGTTCTGGCTGTGTTCTGACACCTTCCTCTCACTACTGACAAGCTTTAAGCCTTTAACTGGGTTGTTCCTCTACCTGGAACACTCTGAATCTACCCAAATCTTTACATACTACGATCAAATCCTCATTGGTTCATGCAGTCTTTGCTGTTAAATCACATGCATCTATACTTTCTTTGAACTTTTACTGTCTGAGCTCATTTGACAGTAGTCTTTTTTTTTTTTTAAGATTTTATTTATTTATTTGAGAGAGAGAATGAGATAGAGAGAGAGAGCATGAGACGGGGGAGGGTCAGAGGGCGAAGCAGGCTCCCCGCTGAGCAGGGAGCCTGATGCGGGACTCGATCCCGGGACTCCAGGATCATGACCTGAGCCGAAGGCAGTGGCTTAACCAACTGAGCCACCCAGGCGCCCCCATTTGACAGTAGTCTTGCACTAGCTGCCCCAATGCTTAACTTTCTCCCGTGTGAATGTTTTCACCCTCTCCATCTGCAGATGCTGCCTGATGCTGGAGACTGCATTCTCTCTCTCTTTCTCTCAGTAAACTTTTAATTTTGAAATAATTTTACATTTACAGAAAAATTGAAAAGACAGTTCAGAAAGTTCCCATATGCTCTTTACCCAGTTTCCTTTAATGGTAACATCTTGCATCACTCTCCCCGATATGCATTTGTCAAAATTAAGAGATTAACATTGGCGATTACTATTAACCACGCTCCAAACCTCGTTTGGATTTCCCTAGCTTTGTTACTAATGGCCTTTTCCTGTTCCAGGACCTCACCCAGGACACCACATAGTATTCAGTCATTGTGTCTCCTTGGCTGCCTATGTTTGTTCACAGGGTACATTTATTTTTCCTTGAAAGTTATGAGTTTCTCTATTTCCATGGCTCCAAGGGGAAGAACAGAGGCTATCATCCTCTCTGGTCATGGAGGCTATGTCTTGGTGTGATGCTTCTGAGATGGTAGAAAGCATCAAATGAAGAGCAAAATCTTGAAACAGGAATGGCATCTTGGCTTTAGTTTGGCTTTGAATAATCATGTCACATACTGTGTGAGTCATCACTTGAAGCAATCAAATCAGAACCTTGAGAAGCAGGGCTATCCAGAAAAAGAAAGCTTGAGTTCCTGGACCATGGTCTCCAACAAGAACCTAGCAGAACAGCAGAGTAACTTGGCTGTGAGTGTTAGTTCTGCAGTCCGGGCCTCCTCATCTATGACAAAGTGTATCTTGTTTTCTGTTCTTCCCTTTTCTTTTTTTCTCAGTATTGGGAAAAACAAGTAGAGATATCTAAAAATGGAGTTAGCTGTACCATCTATTATTAAGTGTCTTAAGTTGGTCTAATTAAGATGTATTATTTAATCTTGGATTCAAAAGAATAAAAAATGTACAGCTACTCAAATAAGCAACAGAAGAATTACACACTGATTATTATGCTTAAATTAATGCTAGGTTAATACTGTTATTATAAAAGTGTCAAAAATACATAAGGTTCTTATTTTACATATCCAAGATATTTCCTATGCCTTTCACAACTATGGTTCTAATGGAATATTTTGAATTCAATGAGAAAAGTCTGTCTAAAATTCAGTGACTCTCTCATTTATTTATGCTCTTCAAGAGGGGCTGATGTTCAGATACTCTAAGAGTCATTTTTAATTTATCTTTCAAGTATTTTTCATAATTTATTTTACATGAATTGTGCCTTCTCGTGTTTTCTTATGTGAATAGCATGTTTCATTTTGTGATCATTCAGCAATGATCATTATAGGTGGATAAGAGGTGGGATTATAGGTGGAAAGGAGGAAATTCCAAAATAGGTTGGGAAGTTAGTTGAGCAAGGATTGAGATAAAACATCGGCCATAGTTAAAAAGCTGGTAAATCATGTGCAGCTGGGAGTGTTGGATTTGTAAGCCAAACTAGTGATTTCTCTTGCTTCCTCATTTTCACTGAAGTGTTGTTACATTCTGGCTTCTGTACCTCCTGGTCTGTATGCAATAAGGCTCAACACCCTTTCCTGCTGCCAGTTGCCTCACACTGGTTGATTTATGGACGAGATCCGAGGGCAGCTGAGCCACTGGAGCCACTGGAGCCACTGGAGACATTGAAATCATTGTCCTAAAAAGGCAAACTTTAAACTTCAGAGCCAAGCCCAGAGGCAATGCTCAGGGCTTGGGCCATGAAACAGTCATCTCCAATCCTGGAAAACAAAAACACTGCCCCATGCTACATGGTCGCGTACCCTTCAATTACTATAAAGCCACCTCTGACAAAAATAATATTCAGGACGTCACCTGGGATGCAGTCAAGGATCATAAATAAATGCCTATTTTCAATTTTCTATGCCACAGTGAGTGCCTGGGCATTGCAAATTCAGTTAGTGAAAAGTGTTCAGATTCAATAGGTATTGAGAGTAAAGTGTATTATAAGTGATAGGTGGGAAGTCTCTCATTAGTCACACCAGACGGTCCCCCCACACCCCCCGTAAAGACACCTGCTCACCTGAGCCATAGCAGCAGGGCCATCTTGTGCCATTTTTCATATTTGTCCAGGCACAAGAATATAATTTCTTCATTTGCACTGGTTAGGCTCTGCAGTTCCCCAAATTGATGTAACTCAACAAGTAGTTATTAAACACCTATGCTAGGGCAGGTATTGTGTCCAGAACAGGAGTTAGACAAATGAAGAATACACGGTCCACGCCTGCACGGAGCTCTCAACATAGTATTGGAGTCAGACTTGTAACCAATTAAGCATAACTTAATGTGAATTGGAGGGCAAGAAGAAAGGGAGTGATTCATTCTGCCAGGAGCAGAGAAGTCTCTATGAGTGGCTACATCAAAGTTGGCTTTGGAGGATGAGCAGGACTTTGCCAGGCAGAATTCTACACTGAGGAATAAGCAATAGAGTCTGAGGCAACCATAGAAGCAAATACTCAGAGGGGTAAAGAGTGTGCTATGAGACAATGATAAGATGAGCAACTCTAAGATGCTGAATTCTGAGTACAAACAAGCCTTGAAAATCCTTTGAGGAGTGTTGCTCAGATTAAATGGTCCACGGAACATGCTCAATACATGCAGACTATTATAACAAAAAATAAACAGGTAAACAAAAATGACTATTAGCAGTACTTTATCAGTTAGAATATCTGACTTCATATAATAGAAATCCAAACTTGACCTGGTTTAAGCAAAAATGTAGAGTTTTTAGGAGCTTATCAACCAAGGGACAGGACAGCCAAGAATGTCCCTAAACCTCAGGAACACCTGGGCCTGGGGCTTGGTGTAGGCGAACAGTCCCCCATCTCTCACGGCAGGTACTGGAGCATGTCTTCTCACTTGGCTGCCATCTGCTTTTCTCTGCAGAACATTGGGTTGTTTGAAGCTCCCAGGTCTCCAGTCTTACAGCTAGAAATCCAGTTTCTATCCAGGAAGGATCTTGTTGTGTCTTATACTGACACCTGGTCCAACTTCTGTGGCCAGAGAACACTGTGACAAAACCGGGAAAGGGCAGGTGGGGGTAGGCAGACAGGGCCTTGGGCATCCCCTTAGCAACGTCAAAGCAAAAAGTAAAAAAGTAAAGCAACTGCCTACCCAGAGTGTAAGGTGTAGGGTTCTCAGAAAACAACCTGAAAAGCCAAGCAATAAAGAGTAACTAGGAAAAGCTCTTTGGAAAGTAGGTGAGAAGCAAAGTGTCAGGTAAGGTTCTGTGTGAGCAAGTGCAAGATGACTTGGAAGATAATAGACCAGACTCTGAGATATCATTCTAAGAAGAGCCCTGCCATTGACTCTTCTCTCTCATGAACACAAAAGGTCAATGACACATTTGGTTCTACTAAGCATTATCCTGAACAGTGAGCTGGAGATCTTATCCTCACTCGCCCCAAGCTATGGTGCTTACTTACCTGAAACACCACAGGTAGCCCTGGTGTCCAAACCTAAAGGCAGAGATAATGAAAATACAGAAGGCAATTACACAGTCCAGGGGATGGGGGGTGGGGGGCTGGGAAGGAAAGTGGGGTTGGAGAGGTAGGAGCTGTGTGACCAGAGGCAGCATAGTATCCTGGAAAGACTTCTGTGAAAAGCAAGATACCAACTGCCTATGTCCTCTCAGGGAAATCACTGGACTTCTCTGTCTGTATTCTTTATACTCTGAAATTTAATGATTGAACAAAATGGTTTCCTAAATCCCTACCGCTTTCTCTCCATTGATTTAAGGATTTTTAAATTTTTTAATTTAAATTCAATTTAATTAACATATACTGTATTATTAGTTTCAGAGGCAGAATTCAGTGAGTCATCAGTTGCTTACAATACCCAGTGCTCATTACTTCTAGTGCCCCCCTTAATGCCCATCACCCAATTACCACACCCACCTCCCTCCAGCAAACCTCAATTTGTTTCCTATAGTTGAGAGTCTCTTATGGTTTGCCTCCCTATTTTCATCTTATTTTATTTTTCCTTCCCCCATGTTCATCTGTTTTGTTTCTTAAATTCCACATATGAGTGAAATCATATTGCATTTGTCTTTCTCTGACTTGTTTTGCTTAGCATAATACCCTCGTTGCAAATGGCAAGATTTCATTCTTGTTGATGGCTGAGTAATATTTCATTGTGTGTATACATATATCCATACCACATCTTTTTCAAACAAGCAAATCATGTTTAACCATAAAACAAACTTTGTCTATTTTCAACTAATTTTTTATAGTCATTTATATTAGTCAAGGTTCCAGAAGCAAGAGAGAGCAAAGTCAAATTCGGATACTTCATTTAAAAGGTGGTCAAGGTACAGGGCTCTTGGGCCACATGGTTCCCTAAGCCTGCCACTGCAGCATCACCTGTGAGCTGGTTAGAATGCAAATTCTCGGCAGCCACCTCCGACCTATTAAAGTAGAAACTGCAGTGGGGGTAACCTATGGTTTAAGGAGCCCTCCTCCAAGTGGTTCCAATGCAAGTGAAAAATTTGAGAACCACTGTGTGTGACACCACAGGAGGGAGGGTAATATCCAGGTGTAGCAACAGTTCTTACTACACTTCGGCCTGAAGGGACAAGGAGAGGGAGTGATTAGAAAAATCTGGAAGGAGGGGCTTGCCTGATAGGAGTTACGACTTTTCATTAAGGTAGGCACTCAGCTAGGGCTTCCTGAAAATACTCCTTTCCTTTGATATCTCCTAGGGACTCCCCATTGATCAGTAAGCCAAAGTCAGAGGGCGAGAGAGCCTGTTTTCTGCAGTCCTTATAGTTCAACCACCACAGAGAAGGGCAAGTAGAGAGAGATTATGGGGCAGGTAGAAAGAGAATTTGGAAGGGCAGAGGCATCTGATCTACCATGTTTTTACAATAATAATATTATAATCACAAAATCAGGGGCTAGGCCACATGATCTTCTAGCTTTAAGCTTCTTTGATTGAGGATTCTTCTTTGATGACTCTTCAACCAATCTCTTAAAAATCATACTTTAAGCATAAAACTAACTTTGACTATTTTCAAATAATGTTTTATAAGTGTGTTTCTTTTAAATATCTGTGATCTTTTCTGTGAAGATGTTACAATCACTGAAGAAACATCGAAGACAGAAATGTAATCTTGAATTTTGACATGGAATTGGTTGGAAGCCACGATTATTACTTTGACATTTTGTCCTATAAAAAGAGATAAGGTATTAGCAATTCAACAAAAGATTATGTGAAAAGCTATATTTCAGCTTATTTTTAAATTCATATTTCATCATATTACAATGACAGCAAATATTCCTTGTAATGAGGGAATATTTACTGTCATATTGGTTGGGTTTTCATTTAAGTCCATATGAAATTTGCAAAAAAAGCTACCTATTAGGTAAACACTTAGTCCTAGAATTATTGAAAGGGGTCAGCGCGGTGGATGTTTTCACAAGCAATATACCAACTTTCTATTTCAATCTGTACCACCTTATTCTTTAAAGCCCAAACCCTCCCAGCACAGCAGTGCCTTATTTATCACATACTATTCACTCTCTGTAGCTCTGAACACTTTTTTAAAAAAGATTTTATTTATTTGTGAGAGACAGAGAGAGTTCAAGCAGGGGGAGGCGCAAAGGGAGAGGGTGAAGGAGAAGTAGACTCCCCACTGAGCAGGGAGCCCAACGCAGGGCTCGATCCCAGGACCCTGAGATCATGACCTGAGCGGAAGGCAGACACTTAACCGAATGAGCCACTCAGGCACCCCTGAACACTCTTGATTCATTTCCTAGGGAAATATCTTTTAAAATAAACTGGCTGTTGATTATATTATTATCCACATTTTTTGTATCAAAAAAATTTTTAAGACTTGCTAATTATCTTATTGCAAATGATAATAAAAAGTCCATTAACTAAAAGTTAGATTTTCAAGATGTAAATCTGAAATATTCGGGTACCTACACATGTGTACTAAAATGACCTTTTTAAAAATCTTTTAAAGCCTAATTCATTGTTATTCACCTAAAACCTGTAATTGGAAGAAAGGACTAAAAATTGTTCTATTTCTGTTATACACATCTTGTCCCTAAAACAGTATTAATTTATTCTATCTGGAATGTGATTTATTTATTTATTTTTTAAAGATTTTATCTATTTATTTGACAGAGAGAGAGAGAGACAGCTAGAGAGGAAACACAAGCAGGGGGAGTGGGAGAGGGAAAAGCTGTCTCCCGGCTGAGCAGGGAGCCCGATGCGAGGCTCAATCCCAGGACCCTGGGACCATGACCCGAGCCAAAGGCAGAGGCCCAACGACTGAGCCACCCAGGTGCCCCGTGGAATGTGATTTATTTTCTCTACCAATAACTACCTTTAAAACTAAAAAGTATAGGGGCGCCTGGGTGGCTCAGTTGGTTAAGCGACTGCCTTCGGCTCAGGTCATGGTCCTGGAGTCCCGGGATCGAGTCCCGCATCGGGCTCCCTGCTCGGCAGGGAGTCTGCTTCTCCCTCTGACCCGCCTCCCTCTCCTTCTCTCTGTCTCTCATTCTCTCTCTCTCAAATAAATAAATAAAATCTTAAAAGAAAAAAAAAACTAAAAAGTATGTTGCTGCTCCCTATTTTTACAATGTAAAAATAAAATGTCTAGCACTTATTTAACACTTACCATGTGCCAAGAGATTTACATACATGATCTCCTGACAACACAATACTGTGGGGTGGATTTTACTATTCCCATTTTATAGATGAGGAAAGTGGATCTTCAACAGCCCAAATAAGTATTTTCTAAAGTCAAGGCAGGTCCAGTTCCAAAGCCCATATTCTTTCCAGTATAATTTGTTGCCCTTCCCATTTCAGCCAATCAGCATTGTTGAGCTCTTTCTGTATGAAGGGGAAATGGTTGTGTGGTACAGAAAATAAGGACAATTATTGTTCAAAGAGCGGCGAGATTAATTTCAGCCTGGACAATTACAGAATACTTAGCAGAGGATGATGGGTTCCAGCAGATGCTAGCACAGGGCAGGGTTTGGATAGAAAGAGAGCCTAGAACAGCTTCCAACAAAGGAAAGTGGGGATTTTGCCCTTTTAGTTGCTGGGAGCAAAAGAGGTATTTTGAAGAGGGATGATGAGTTGGAAGCAGAGTCTCTTGAAGGCAAAATTGGCAGGAGAAGGCAGGATGCACAGAACAGATAGAACCTGGAAGGAAGACATCTATTTGGAAGCAAAACATGCTCCTTAAAGAGAGACGGGACTCCCCCTGTAGAGACATGTATGGCAGTGGGATCCTTTTTTCCCTGCTAAGATCCAAGCATTCACATGGTAAAAGTCAAAAGAACACCAATAATAACAGTATCTTGTGCTTATAAACTGGTCATACTTATTCTTCCTGGTCATGATCTAACCCTTTTGTGATGCAACCAGAGCACCCTTTACCCCAGGGCCTATGTATGCCAGAGGGACTTCATTCTTACTTGGGCAACCCATATATTTGTCAAGTGCATGTTCTGGATTTATACTCTAAAGAAGAGGTTGGCGGGGCTCCTGAGTAGCTCAGTCGGTTAAGCATCAAACTCTTGATTTCAACTCAGGTCATGATCTCAGGGTCATGAGATCCAGCTCAGTGTCAGGCTCTGCGCTGGGCATAGAGACTGCTTAAGATTCTCTCTCTCTCTGCTCCACACCCTCCCCCCCCCCGGGCCCCCACCTCTCTTACATTTCTTCTGGCTTCCTTCTCCCAAACAAAATATCATCCTTAAGAGCTGCTTGTTTAGATCATTTCTGGACCTACATCTCCATCCAGTACCAAGCATTTATTGCCTCAGTGCTGCTCAAAGATGTCACCCCTCCCTCAACTATGGCTCCAACCACGCCCATGTTTCATTAAGCCTACAGTTATCCTACTTCCAGCTACCTCTTATCTTGCCCATCCTCAGTCTCTGACTACGCAGCCTGTGATTCCTTACACCTTCATCATCTGGAGAGTTAGATTATAGGTTAACCTTGATGATTTTTGCTGAACACTCATAGATCTGGAATGGATTTTTAAGTATTCCCAAGGTACCTAAGAGAGAATTTTAAATCTATTTGGCTGATCCTAGATATGAATCAGCAGAAAACTATAAAATTGCCTTTAACATTTTTTTTCTTTGGTGATAGCCTCGGTCTTAAATAATTTCCCAGATGATAGAAAGTGTCTTTCATTGCAAAAGAACAAATAACAATTTTTTTAAAAATCTCTAATCCCCATTAACAATTCCCTGAATGTTTTTTAATGTGAATACCTTGGGCCTCTGTCCTACTTTTAACTGCCCAGCACTCAACTCCCTTCGCATTTAAGGGGACCCTCCCCCTGCCAATTACATAAGCCTTGTTGGGAAAGTGCCCCATATCCCACAGTGGAAGCCAAACGAGACTCTTTAAGAGGTCTACACCTCTCCCTGCCCCCAACAATAGGGGGCAGGCATGACTGGATTTCATCCCATCAGACCCTCCTATCCAG